TCAAACAAATGAGTTCATAAGAAAGAAAATCTTGTATCTGCGTGCCATTTATAAGGCTCCTGCATCAGCATGTAGAATAAAAGGTTCTAAAAAATAGTGATTCAAGAGTCATTAGATACAACACTATTTACCTTAGAATCATCAAATCTATACCATTCATCAGGAGCAACACGAATATAGCAGTAATAGTGCCCCGAGGTAGATGAAAATCCAGTATGCACCACTACTGCAAATAAATCATACTTCAACTCCTGTCAAACAAAATTTTCATCATTACTGGTGGCACATTAAATTTTTCATAATCATCCAACAACATTCTTCATCCATACCAAGTGCAAGACACCACAAAATACTCTACCCATACAAGGAACACAGACCACTTACATGAACAGGAGTTAATTAGCAACTCAAATAAATTGAACACCACTAATCAAAAGCTAATTGCACATGTCAATCTAAAAATTATCTTACCAAGTATTTACATCAATACTAATAAACAAGCTGCATAACACACATCCTGACACAACCACTTAAAAACATCAAGTAAACTTATAATTACTACTTGTGCGACTTAACGCATGAACATATGCTTCAAAGTCATCCATCCATAAAGGAGTTCAGTCAACCACTCAATTATTACACAGGGAAAACAGATTGTGCACCTCCTCATTTTGATCACAAATAGTGTAAGGCTGCAGGTCCAATTCCAGGGGAAACTTTACATACTTGTCAATCTTCTCAACAAAAGAACCATCATTTTTAAATCTCTTAAGATGGAATGCAGCAACTGAAGGGACCTGGTCCAACATAAGTTGCTTCTCAACCGACACCTGCTCCTTACAATGTTCACATGTAAATTTCATTTCCGGGTCTTCAAGTTTCTCAAGCTTAGTAAATGACTCCAGAGCCGTATGAAGATCGCTTGCATTCTCAATCTCCAAACTAAGGTCAATTGATGGCTCAAAAGTGTCAGACCAATGACCACAGTTGCAACATCCCAGCTGCAATTTTGAAGTTCAATACAATTACGTAATAGCATCAGTTTAACTAGCCACATGAATGCCAAAGAGCAAAAAGCTGGCACTAGTAAACAATTCATATACATGAGTGACATTGTTTCATAAGGAAGCAGAAAAACCAATTGAGAGAAAGAAGCAGTAAAAGCAGCTGTTTTCTTACCATGCTTATAAGACGACCACCAAAGACTTGTTTCACCATGTTGTCACTCCCAGAATGCAGAGTGTTGTTACATTCAAAACCACCATAACAACTTTCCAGCTTATCCAAAAAGCATTGGAGGAATTCATGAGCATCTTCCTGCTGAAATCTCCGAAAACTAGATGAAAAATCTGGCAGTTGAAAAATTAAGGAACACAAAGATCTCCAAGACACAATAATTGCACTGACAAATGAGCCAAAACCCAGAACTCTTATATACAACTCAAAGATGACGAATAAGTGACAACATTTCCAGCAAAACCAATACAATTTTCTCCAGGTTTTTGGACAAAAAGTACAAGTTTTGATCGAAAAGTCAACCGTCCAGACCACTGTAGATCATGAATAACTATACATCTATGTAATGAAAATGAAATGCTACAGCCATACAAATGAAAAGCATGTAGAAAAGGATACAGTTCAAGTTGTTAACAAATTTCCAAGGCGAAATGATCTTGCCCGTAGAGATCAATGAAAACTGAATATGCTCATATAGGCTGCAAAATACACAGAAACCTTCACTGTTACCTGCAAAGACCATTAAAGCACAACTATCAGATACAACACAAACTAAAACGTATTCCAAGCTCACCCAACTAAGACAGTTTCTTAAAAATTAACAAAATTTGAAAGCAGCATGAAAGTAAAGGAACAATTAAGTATAGCAATCTTACTATCACAGGGCACTTTATGATTCGATGAAAGAAGCCCTTGGAGTAGTGGAACAGTGTGAGTGAAGCATTGCAAAATGGCATTGAGAAAGCATGTGTTACCCAAATTTGCCAGCCCAGCACCCTACAAATTTTTAACATAAATCAGTAATGATAATCAATAGCTGATGCCCCAGAGTGTTCCTTCCCCTTGCCTCACTCTACTAACATTAAACTGATAATTTTGTGGGGAAAAGCCATTGTCTCGATAACTGCTAAAATTCGTTTTGGGTGACATAAAGAGGTAGCAAATTCAAGAAAAATCAACTTTCCCTCTAAATCTAGCATGCCAGATTAAAAAACTCGGTATATCACAACACTGAATGACTAACTCATATAATGCAAAAGGTTTTAAATAACATACACCCCACGTGGAAACCAAGCCAGAGACAAAAAGAAATCGCAGAGAAAGCTACAAGCACCACCTAAAACGACAGGCTACGGAAAAATCACAGCAGAATACGGAAAAACACTAATGTCTAACACTTGCTATAAAGCTTCAGAAGCAAATAAGCATTCAAAGGTGCTAGAACTATAAATTTGCCCGCATAAAGTTCAAGTGCAATACCACTACAGGAGACTTATTTTCGCTCAACCAACTTGAAACACTAGGCTTATTGCCACAATCTGTAGGAGAAGGCCAACCAATCCAGCTAGAACCCTCAGCAGCCTTGCGATCTTCCAACTCCATCGCACCCAAAATCCACGGATTCGAGCTAGGCCTCGGATCAAGGAGCCTCGACCACGGCCCACCACCGTAGGGCGAGTAATTGTAGATAGGCCAGCGGCAAATCAACTCATTCTCCTCATTTTCACCATCTTTAGAGTCAATATCTTCAAGCAAGCTATCAAAATCGGAGCAGGGATCGTTATCCGGCAGAGTTTCTTCGCTCGACAGAGATAAATTATCGTTAGAGTCCAAAGAATTTAGGTTTTTCTCAAGTGAAATTGGGGGTGACGGCCCAGATAGGGTTTTTGGGGAATCGAGCGAATTGAGCAGAGGAGGATGAATATCAAGGGGTTCATCTAGGTGGGTTTCCATCATAATGGGGAAAGGTGGAAGAAAAATGGAGGAATTTTGGGAGGGAAACGGAATTGAAAATTTCCAAATTTTAGGGTTTTGGAAAAAGGGGGGAAAGGGAAAATTTGGAAGAACTTGAGAATGGAGGGAAAGGGGGTAAAAGGGATGTTTTTGAAAGTGATTTTTCAGCAAAGGTACTGAAAATTGGAAAGATTGAAAAAGAAAATGTGTTGGGAAGATTTTGGTTTTGAGTTAATAATAATAATAATGGTGGGGATTTAAAAACAATTAATGGGATTAAGATTTATGTGATGATGATTGGAGGGTTTCGAAAAAGGAGGGAAAGTGGAGCCGCCAATGGCATTTTTCAGCAGTTGTTTGTTGAAACAGAGGAAAACAGATTGAAATTTTATAGGAGAGAGTGACAGAAGGGACAGAGGAGCGGAGAGAATATGGGGGAAGCCGCAGTTGAGTTGAGGTAATGGGAATTTGTAACTGTTGCGAGAGAAGCCAAGAAGGTAACTGTTAAAAATACTACTCGCTAGCGCAAGGCCGACAGCTCAAGATTACTTGCACGCTGATGATTGAGGTACAAGATTCCCAAAACTTGTCCCTTGCGTCTTTGATGCATAGCCACCTAATTGTAATGAAGCGATTTTAGGCCCCACCCCCCGTCCCCCCCCCCCCCCCAAAATAACACGCTGTATGAATTATGTGTTTTAAGAGGTATTTTTAAAAATTTCAATAATCATAATTAATACTAGTGTTTCTTAAGGTGTTTTTTTATATGTATTTTGCTATGTTTTTAGATTTTATAAATTTTTTTGAAATATTTTTAAAAAATAAAAATAACACGACATCACTTTTCTTCCTCTCCCTCTTTCCTCTCCTTTTTCTTCGTCCTCCCTCCTCTTTCTTCCTCTTCTCTACCACCCTTCGACCATTTCTTCTCCTCTTCCTTAATAAATTTAACCTCGTCGCTACTAGAAGGTCATAACTTTCTGGTTGCGGCCAAATAAATTTGGGGAAAGGAGAGGAGGGAGGAAAGAGAAGAGAGAGAAGGTGGTGGTGAAAAGGGGAAGAATAAGATGTGATAGGGATTTTTTTTATTTTTTGATAATATAAGTTGTATTTGATATTGCATGTATTTTTAAGTTATTTTTTGAGTGTTAATATAGACTCCAAATACAAAAGTAGTTTTTAAAAAAAATTCCAAATCAATACAACATTTCAAACTCTAATTACAATCTATTCTTCACTCGAAAATGTGGACAGGCATGTGATTTAATTAACATTTTAAGGATAAAATAGGAAGTACAATAGAGGAGGACTTAAAATTCATTGCAGTGAATGTCTAAAAAACGATGTAATTTTGGACTCGTTTAACGTTGGGGTAACTTACTGATAAGGCTCAAATAAAAAAAAACAAAAAAAAAAAAAATGAGTGCATGCCCATTTGCAATACAATTATATCAAACATTCATTAAAGAAAAAAAGAGTGAAGATAAATGGTGTTCTAAACCAGGCAGATTGCAAAAGAAGAAAATGGTTAATCCCAATCCGGCAAACATACCAGCCACGAATCCACAAGTCAAACAAAGAATCACCTTGCTCGGCAAGCAAGTTTTTTGTCAAGTTTATTTGCTACAAGTTTTTTAACAACTTTAACTACAGTAACTTCAAAAAACTTCTTGAAATTTTTAAACTATACACTTCAAAATATCCAAAAATTTACACACTTCAAAAATTTTTTCTACGACTTCTACAGTAAACTATAGTAAAATTTTAGACAAACACCAAAAAAACTCACTTACCAAACAGGGCCTGTGTCTCAATAAAAATCATTTGGAACACACACACACGCTCTCTCTCCCTTGTATTTGAAAACCACTCGTAAATTTAAAACCAAAGTAAGGTATAATATTTCATTCTAATGAATCCAAATTTCTGCTTCAAATTGATTCTCAGGCCAGCGAAATTACCAGTGATCATTTTACGGGTGCTTTGTAGCTACTCTTATTGTTAGTTGATCAAATTGCCACTCGAGATCATTCTTGGCACTTTGCGTTTTGATCATGTTAATCTCAAACTTAAAGATTGTTGGTATAAGTCGCAGAATCAGGAGTCCATAGTGAGCCGATAAAGCACGAAGGGAGTTGCATAGTTTACTACACCCCGTTGCAAGTCTATAACGAGATCCTCTTAAATTTGTACACAGAAAATGCAGCTTTATCGGAGGATTCTCTCCTGGAGATTCGACACTTCCTCCTGGAGATTTGACATTAAAGTGGATGCAAGGGAGCTGAGCTTCTTCCAAGTTTCGCCTGCCATAATCTTAAATGAAGAGAAATCCTGCTGCGCCTGTAGATAGATATGGACAAAATATTAGCTTAGATGAAATGTTATACTCTGATCCAAAGGTGGTTATGAGACACTAAGAAAGCAAGAATGATTTCATCAAATATACTGGTCGCTTTTAAACACCATAGTTGCCACACCTGTAATTTCAACCAGTCAATCAGATCTCCAGCTGTGACATCAACAGATGAATTGTTGCACTGTTGACCAAAGAGATCAGCACTAGAGATTGCATTTGAACCCTATGAAACAATTCAAAAAAAAAAACAAATAAAGTTAATCGTGTTCCGATGCTCACTAAAGGTGCTCATGTCTACCTAAAGGTCATTTAAGATACATGAAATCTACAGGGTCAAAATTTGCATAAGCTGATCACGATTGAACTTGTATCTACCATTACTATTGCATAGACCAACACAGGCCTGATAAAACTTTCAGTTCTGGAAATTAAGCTGACACAAAAAAGAAGAAAAGAAGAAAATACAAAACATACGAGCCAAAACAACAACGACTGAATCTTTAGTACCAGTCTTTAGACGTATGATATACTGAACCGTTGGTATATTTCATCCAGCTTTAAAGTTCAGATTGGAACCAAAAATTAAACCTCAACATTTAGATAAACCTTTTAAAAAACCACTTTAAAACAAAACACAAAGGCTTGATGCTTTAGATCATGCTATACAAAACAAACACTAAAGTCCAAATACATAGTAGAATACCACATAAGGTACACTAATGTTGTTCAGAAAATATCATATGAACGTCTAAATGCATGTCCTGGTACTTATCCAACAGACCAGAGGGTCAAACCACACTTCAATTGGATAAAGACAAAACTACATATTTCAATATCAGAGAAAGATAGTGTACAACCAGTAATATGTAGATAAACTATGAACTGAAGCTTAAACAGATAGCACAAACGTCATAACACTACAGGTGTCCTAAACTCACATCTGGTCATTAACACGACAAGAGATATAATGGCATAATCAGCATCTGAACCATAAATAAAGCACTTTTACCCATGAAAATCCAATTCACAGGAGATCAATAGAACTATAGGTTTATAATTCGCCTACACAAACAAACCTCACAAAACCATAATGGGTAGAAGTATTAAACAATGCAGAAGGAAAGAGGAAAAGAATAACCACACCAAGGCACTGCAGATTTATCAAAGATACATGTCCAAAAAGAGAAGTAATACAACAAATCCAGTGGAACAATCAAGACAAATTGAAAAAAAAAAAAAGGAATATGCCCAGGGCCAAAAGAAAAAACCATCCACAAAGTGAAGGAGTTTACGCTGTACATACTCTAGGCAATTGTTTGTCCCCTTAAATTCCCATCTAAAAACAGAAAAGTCAGAGGACTACCAAGGAAACAACATACCGAGAACTTCTGCAGAGAAACTGAAGTTCCCATGTCATTCACTTCTGATCTCCAAAAAACTGAGCAGAAGAGATCATGGTTCAAAGTCACGGTCGCGGTTGTGGTCGCGGCTCGGAACGTTCCACATCAGTCTCGGCATATCGGTCGCGGTTTCGGTGAGATGCAAATTTTAAAGTATTTAATATTCTAAAAATTGTTAATAATATAAAAAGTATGCTAAATAAAAATAATTAAAAAATAGTAAAAGAAACGGCCAAGTCAATCCGTCACGGTGTGACTCGGCTGATTTCTCGTCTTGACTCGGGATAACTCGGAATGACTCGGTGTGACTCGCCGAGTCAATCCGTCACGGTGACGACTCGGCCGATTTCTCGGCAAGTCAAGTATTTCGGTATCGTTTCGTCACGGTATCGTATCGGTAGGAGCCGAGACGGTGACGACTCGGCCGAGTCGTCTAGGTCTCGGCCGAGTTGACTTCGAACCATGAGATAGATTTAGCATTGGGAAATCTCTTCCTGGCTTCATCAGTTTCTTCAACCTGATAAAGATAATAACTAATTAATGTTACTAAAATTAGTCCAAGAACTACAAGGCTCTAACTATTCAAACACCTGTATGCTAACACTACTTCCTTCTTTCAAATTCATATTCTCAAATTTCACTGTGTTCACAACTTGATAGATGGTTTTATTATCACAAACAAGAATTAATGTTTCTCGAGAACACAAGCACTTCGGGGTGTGTGTGTGTGTGTAGACACATACATATATATATACACACACACGTTCAATGCTTGCTTGAACTTCGGGCATAGTTGAGCTAGTCTCCTTTGACAAACAACTATCCATCTCATATTCAGCAAACAAATTGGAAGATTTTAGCGGTGATACACGGCTATGAACACGTGCGCCTCCAGAACTATTATCTGCTGGTTGCGGATTGTCTATGTACTGAAAGCGAGTTGCAAAGGATTTGGGCGTGCTATTGGCGGAGTCCGATGATGGAACTAGAACGGGTGGTTCTTCAGGCTTCTGGTCATAAAGGCTTTCATTTGGCTGCAACAGCCAAAAGAGTTCAACAATTTATCATTGCAAAAATTACAATGACATTTCAGCTAGAGAATAAAATTCATTCAAGAATGTTAATGATCTGCAAAACCGTTTTAGCAAGCTTTTGAACTCGCAGGCCCCTAGTGTTTCCAGTTCTCTTAGCACCTATAGAGGCTGCTTCACAGTTGCGATGGTAACAGTATCGGAAGCATTGGGTAAAGAAGAAACCTCTGCAGTTTCATTTCTCAACGAAGAATTCTCGTTTTGAGTTTCAGCAATTGGTTTCAAGAAAACAATAATTAGTAGCTTATTCTGGCTGAGAATTGACTGATAATGATGGCAAACCTGCTTCATCCGCAATGCTCTGGGCAAAACCTGTAGGAGAAGACCAATCAATCTACGAAGAACCCTCAGAAGCCTTGCAATCTTCCAACCCCATCGCACCCAAACTCGACGGATTCAAGCTAGGCCAAATGGGGCGAGTATCGTGGATAGGGCAGGGGTTTGTCAACTCGTTCTCCTCAATTTCACCATCTTTAGAGTCATCATCTTCAAGAAAGCAATCAAAATCGGAGGAGCGATCGCTATCCGCAACGTTTCTTGGAAAAACGATAAATTGTCGTGAAAATCCAATTAACTTTCTCAAGTGAAATTTGGGGTGAGTCGATCGAATTGAGCAGAGGACTGTCAATTTGTCTTCGTAACGGAGTTTGCTCGAAATTTAAAGGATCAATAACAGTTACGTCCCCTAAGATTTGGCCAAACTGCAAGTTGGACCCTGAGATTTAGTCAAATTACAAGATGACCCTCCATATTCGAAGAAAATGCAAAATGGATTGGACATCCATTTCTCTTTCTCTGCCTGATTGTGAATTCCTAATACAAAAGTACACTCCCTACCTCCTACATGTGGCACTATGGCAGGATGATCTGAAAAATTTTTATCTTGGACCAACTATTTTAGCCCTTGTTTTTTGACCAATTTATACTCTCAATTGAATAAACAATAGCCCCACGCCCCAGCGGGCAGCTCGTATGGTAATCGCCTTTGGGTCTTTATTCGAGGTTATCAGATCGATTCCCGCTCGTAACATGCTGTGTATCTTGAATAGGTTATACATAGTCGCAGGAGATTAGTCTGGCGTAAGTCAAGATACTCCTGTTTCAACAAAAAAAAAATGGACAAACAAGAGCCCCACAATCTTATTTGGATCATATACATGTCGAGTTAACGAGTTCTATGATCTCATTTAGTTAATATTAATTGATAAAAAACCAAGTATTAGATTTACCAAATATACTCTTAATTGGACAAACAAGAGATTTGGATTATGTACGGGTCGAGCTAATGAGTTCTATGATCTTACTTGGATAATTTGAATTGGTTAAAAACCATTGAGTATTAGATGGTCCAAACTAGAATAACATTTCTCGGATGATCTAATTTTCTATCAAAATTTGCAGGGCAAGAAGCCAATCAAATACTCGAATACGTACCCACAATAAACTTATATCAGCTTTCAGTCTTTTACAATCTGGCATGATACCAGATAAAACTAATGCTTAATTCTTCTGAACCTATAAGAAAACAAAGGGAAAACTACTGCATAAAAAACCTTTATTTGTAGGTTTAGTGCCTGACATTACGTTTTCAACTTCAAGTTCTTCAACAAGCCCGTGCTGATGTACTTTTACATATCAAATGGCGGACACTTTCATCAGTTTCATGGGGAGTGAGTCCCACATTTAGAACTCAGAATCTCAACAAGAAGGAATAATTCGACTAATACTATGATATACCTTTTTTTTTTGTTTAAGAAGCAGGAAGGAGGCAGAGAATTAAAACCCAAAACTTCTAACTCTTATAGTCTCAACCTTTTTCAGAGTCAATGTCATATTCTTAGCCAAACATGAATCAATTCCTTTTGTATTTTAGAAGAGGCGTAAAGTGGAACATTGATACACTGCATTAGATTTGGGAAAATTCTTCTGTCTTTTTAGTATTTTTAAGGAAATCATTCCCTCTAGTATTTTTGTTTTGCTTAAAAGTTGTTTAGAGGTGGACAAAAAAAGGTCTGAAGGTTAATTCAATTTTCTATTATTCTCACTTCTGTTGAAGTTGTACGGTGTATAAAGTTTCAATTTTTTCGTCCTTAATCATTAAAAAGAAATTCTAAAGAAAACAGTATTTCAAAACTTGACAAATTTAAATCTTTTCCAGACACAAGAAATAAACATGCACTACTGTGGACGAACAAATTAATGCTTTTTAACAGTTAACCACAGAAAAACTCATTGGAGATTGACTTGTTTCTCATTAAAACAAGCTTCAGCTAATTTGATTTTGAGGTGATGATCCCTGGAATCTTTACAATGTAAAAATTACCACATCTAATTCAATTCCGAAACCAAACAAACTCTGATGAAGACCAATTAAAAATCCAGGATAAGGCTACTGCAATTTTAGCTATTTCGGGAGTCAAGTACATATCTTTATGGCCATCATGGTTTCTCACACAGTTGTTGGTAGAGCCCAGTAAGAAGAGGAAAGCTGGAGAGGTTCAGTTGTTGATCGACGCTATAACCACTGTTTTCCTCCCAGATAGTTCTAAACTTTGATCATACTTCTAAAAGCTCAGATGTTGCGCCTATGATTTGGGGTGGGGAAGTTTAAAAAAAAAATGTTCTTACCATAACAAAAAATATAGAACACATACTTCAACGTGTCTTTCTGTAATACTTGGTAAGATGCAGCCCCTTCTCAAATTTGATAATATACTTAAACCTGGCAGAGATAAGATTACGTAAAAGGGCCGATAGAACTTAAATTGGTAAATGGTTTAAATCCCATTTGGGTTACATCATTGAGGGAAAAAAAAAAAAAGAAATTAAAGGCCAGCCCAAAGGAAAAACTTGTGTTGCATCATCATTCAGAACAAAATACACAAGGCCAGTCCAAAGGATAAAATCTATGAAATAGCCAGAGAAGGCCACATACACACCATGATGGTTACATTCCGCAGCTACAAAATAATGGTGTCATCTCATAATCCTAGGAATTTTAAAATCTTATTTGTCTTCCGTAAAAATTTTAAAGATTTAACTTTTTACATCTACATATTTCTTTTGCAATTCTGTAACAAGATCCTCTAGATTGTACATCCAAAATGCAGCTCTCTCAGAGGATTCTGTCCTGAAGATCCGACACCAAGGAGGAGGCAAGGGAGCTGAGCTTCTTCCCAGTTTCTCCTGCAATAATCTTGAGGGAAGAGAAATCTTGCTGTGCCTGTGGAAATGGAACTAAATTTTATGTGCTCTGATACAAAGGTGGTGCTATGAGACTCAAAAAAGAAAGAATTATTTCATCAATATAGCAGTTGCAATCTACATCACAATTGCCATACCTGAAAAGACAGCCGGTCAATCAGATCACTAGCTGTGACATCAACAGATGAATTATTGCCACGGTGACCAAAGAGATCAGCACTGGAGATTGCATTTGAACCCTATGAAACAATAAAAGGATATCAAAGAAAGAGTTAGTTGAGTGCCAATGCTCGTTAGAGGCAGTCATGTCCAAATTCTCGTAAACCAATCATTATTGAACCAGTGTCTAGCATTATTATCGCACACACCAACACAAGTCCCTTAACATCGTCAGTTCTGGAGATTAAGCTGACTCAAACAAACAAAATAAGGTGGTAAAGGGGCTAGGGGGTCGGAGGGGACACGATAAATAACTAGACAAGTAAGAAAATACAAGTCATATAAGCTAAAACAGCTAGTACCAGTCGTCTGAACCAATATATCCTTCATCCAGCTTTCAAGTTCAGATTGGAACGAACAAGAAACCTCATCACTAAATAAATTAATATGAAACAGACAGAAACCAACCAGAAAAGCTTGATGTTTTAGATGAGACTGTAGAAAAAAAAGAAAAGGAAAACCTAACGTCCAAATATACAGCAGAAATACTATAAAAGCTACACTAAATTTGTTCAAAAAGTATCATATGTACATCTGAATTCATGCACTTATTCATATCCAACGGGCAAAAGGTTCAAACCAAACTTCCTTTGGACAAAGACAAAAAAAAAACATACTTTATCACAGAGAGAGGGGGTCTACAACCAGTAAAATATAGATCAATTATCCAATGAAACTGAAAAAGTTGGCACAAATGGTTTAACAGTGTAGGTATCCCAAACCAATATCTGGTAAATAACAAAATGTGCATCTGTACCCATAAATAGGGCACTAATGCCAATGAAAAGAACCCACGTTCACCTAAAATGTCTAGATTCACAGGATATCACTCAACTATTAAACAAAAATTAGGTTCAGTAGTTGCAAGTTACAACTAACTGCAAAAAAATCAACAATTGGCATATGAAAAATGTGGCAGAAAAGAGGAAAAGGATAACCACTTGAAGGCACCGCAGGTTATCAAAGAAAAGTAATACAATTAATTGTGACAAACAACAAAACAAACGAAAAAAATTGAATATTTCCAGGGGGTAAAGAAAAGAACATCCACAAAATGGAGGAGTTGATGCGGTACACAAGTTTACAGAAGGTAACCTATTCTCCCCAAGTGTTCCCACCTAAAAACAGAGAAGCTTAGACTATCAACAAAAACAACATACCGAGAACTTCTGCAGAGAAACTGAAGATTCCATGTCATTGACTTTGTTCTGATCACCATAAAACTGAGCAGAAGAGATAGATTTAGCATTGGAAAACTTCTTCCTTGCTTCATCAGTTTCTTCAACCTGACAAAGACAAACAAGTTAATGTTTTCTAACAAATGAGTCCCAGAAATACAGGGTTCTAAAACTACTTTTTTCTCTCAACACTTTCCATTTTTCCATGGTATTCTTAGGTTTCACTGTGTTCACAATGTGATAATTTGTTCTATTTTGAAAAACGAGAAAGAATGTCCCTAGAGAACACAAGCACTTCAGTCAACAAAAGAACTACACATCAGCCTATCATTTTAACCTTTTGAACCACCTTCTCAGTTATCCCAAAGACATGTTTTCCCCAAAAAAAAAAAATTTCCTTCAACCCATCAGAGACATGTATCTTGGTCATAATCCATAGCAGATTTGAAACTACAAAATCACTTACTCCACAGCTCACTATGATAGGATAAATTTTACCGAAGCTTACTTGAACTTTGGGCAAAGTTGAGCTGGTCTTCTTTGAGAAACCACTATCCATGCCATAGTCAGCAAAGAAATTAGAAGATTTTGGAGGTGATACATGGCTAAGAACACGGGCACCACCAGAACTAATTTCTGCTGGTTGCACATTATCAGTATACTCAAAGCGAGATGCAAATGATTTGGGCGTGCTACTTGTGGAGTCAGATGATGGAACTTGAACAGGTACTTCTTCAGGTTTCTGGTCATAAAGACTTTCGTTTGGCTGCAACAAGCAAAAGACGAGTTCAACTATTAACTAATGGAAGAACTACAATGGCACTTCAGAGAGAGGACAAAATGTATTCTCATGAACTTTAAATGCTCTTCAAACCTTTGTAGTAAGTTTTCGAGCTCCTAGACCCCCAGTCTTTCCAGTTTTTTAGCAACTAGAGGCTTCTTAACAGTTGTAGCAGTAACAGACTGGGAAGCTTTGGGTGAAGAAGAAACCTCTGGAGTTTCATTTTTTAGAAAAGAACTCTGATTTGGAGCTTCAGCAGTCTTAATATCAGGAAAACCATTAGTAGCATGTACCGACTGAGAAGCAACCGGTGATGATGGCAAACCAGCGTCTGCAGCGCTTTTAGCAACTTCTTTAGCAAGCAATTGTCTATACAAGTCAGCAGCTCTAGAAGTATACTTTGCCTCAATCTTGCCCCCATCAGTCCATCCATGCTGTTTAAAGAAAACTTGAGCACGGTTATTTCCACCAAAGCACATCATTTTCAACTGCTCTGGAGACCAAGAATCTAGATTGGTCGACCTACAAGATAGGTCAGCTTGGTAAGTCATTAGTATACCGTGTGGAAAGAAACAATTACAAGTGCTTCAAATGACAAAAATGAGACGCAGCACATGAAAAGCCCAACTACTGCTGAACTGGTGCAGCAAAAGAAAAACTCAAACAATTTTCTATCTGAGTAATGTCAAAAAAAAACCAAACGGAACACAGTACATCCTCTAGAGGAAGAGCTAATCTCTAATAAATGAAAATTAGTGTATAATGGGAAACAAAGCTGATGGAGGGCGATAAGGTGGTACTGATGGACAGAACGGGGGTAGGTAGCAAGAGGGCCCATCATCCTTCAAAGCATTGAAAAGTTAAACAGGTTCAACGCAAGGCTTAGTAAATTTTCATGACACCTCTTTCACAAACAGTTTGCTCTCAACTAACACCATGCAGGTATTAACTCAGGAATCCAAGCTCCTACAACATGATTAACTCAGGAATCTAAGCTCCTAATGCTGCAGACTATTGACGCTACATCCATACATCTCGGCATTAATTGCTTTGAAGTTCTTCAAACATAATCAGCACGTGAAAGGCCCAGTCAGCAGCATTTTTAGTGTGACAGCAGGAACTACCCAATAGCTTTTGCTCAACAGCTCAACCCTCCAAAACAGAGTTACCCTCTTATTCTAATTTGTCTAAAGAAGTAGGTTCTAACAACTCATGATCTGCCACCCATTTAAATTGCCAGAACATAATTCTGCACCATCAAGTTTAGTTTCTGTGCACACTTCTTCTAGTTGCTCATCTAACTTCTTTCTCATTAACTAAAATGTAAAACTTGAAAAGCAACTTTCAAATGTCTATTTCATAACTCATGACCCTTCTAGGGCATGCCGATATGACTGTTGAACAGAAAGACATTATTCTCGATAAGCACCTTAAAGCTGTAAAAGTTGCCAAGTTCAGCACACTCAAGCATCCTCTAACACTTTGCAGACCAACACCTAACGTCGACTTCAACCCAATATTATTTAGTTCAACAATGAGAAAAGCAGACATTTGATGGACCAGTTTTTCTGTTTCCCTATAGTGCCCTAATACAAAGTAAATGACTACCTGCCCTCAGCTTCCAACCTTGTAATTCCACCAACTCATTTTAATTTCTTATTCTCTTTCAATTTTCCTACACTTGCACACTCAAGTGTGCAGCTTCCCCTAGTTACTAACTATAAAAAGGACGGAACTAACTGTAATTTATATTGCTATCAAGAGAATAGCACAAGGAAGGAGGAATTCAGCAAACTTTCACATACGAATCGAAAATGATAACTTTTGTTCCTCTTATAGGTCACAAAGCATCATCACGCAGCTCCCCAAAAACACTTTAACACTCTCTTCTCATTAAAAAGAAAAAAGAGTAAAAAAGGGTACAAAAAACATACATTTCCAACATTAAAATGTTTATGCAGGCTATTTATTAATCCACTACTGTTAGAAGAGACAAAATGAGCTGATCAAAAATCAACCCAACCAAAAGCTGAAAATTCAAATTACCAACGAAGCTAATGTGAACACCGAGAACAAAAGAATATACCGAACGAAGCTAATGCACCAATTTGAAGATTAAAAAACCAAGCAAAGAGAACAAGAATATACCTAACGAAGCTAATGTGAACACCGAGGCTCCGGTGAACCGCCGAACAATCAATACAGAGAAAGATCCCATACGTCACGGACGCCCACGTCGGGTTCTTCGCGTTGCAATCAAAACACATCTGACAAAAAAAAATTTCCACAACCAAAAATATAAACAATTAATCACACTGAATAAAAAGATCTGCGCACAAAAATCTCAGATCTGAATCAGATCTCAGAAATTCCACCTTAAACTATGATATCAGAAACTCCACCTCAAACTATTCAAGCAAAAATAGAAATAACAACGGAAAAAAAACGCCAATTTTCAAATAAAATTTACCTTATTCTCGGACTTGGCTTTGAGCTTCCGAAAAATCGTGTTCTTGTCGGTGTAATTCTCCGAAGCCATGGCGATTTACTAATGTCTATGAATATATAGATATATCGATAGAAATAATTAAAACTTTGAAAATGAACTATTATATATATATCTGCAGAAAAAGTTCCGAGAGGAGAGAGAGAGTGGAGAAAGAAGACGAAGAAGAGAGAGAAAATGGCTCCTCAGGGAACTACAGATTGCGAGAGAGAGACAGACGCGCAAGTGCTTGGGAAATATATGTGAAACGCTGGTGGATGTTTCCTTTTTCTTTATCTTTTTCTTTTTTCCCTGATTTTCGTTTTGGTACTATTTGGTAATTGTCTTTTTTTTTTTTGGCTTGGGGAAAGTTGATACTCCATTTTTTTTTTATTTTCTTGTTTAGGCAGGTCGAGATCTGAGAATATGCGAATTAATTTATTAGTATTAGTACCAAAAAAGGCGTAAGAATACAGGTAACCCTGACCTGGGCCGGTGGCCTGGGACAATGGGGCCACTGGTGGGGTCTCCTGCCTTGATTGGTTACAATAAAGGGATAATTTCAGAAACCTCCCTTGAGGTTTTTCTTAATCACACCTAGCACCCCTAAAGTTTCTGAAATCACACTTAGCAGCCTTAGAATGACAACTTTTGTAACGTATCAACCCCTTTAGGTAAAAATTGTATTAAAAAATGTATTTAGAAGAGACTATAATATTCTTCCAAATTTGACCTTTTGCAAGTTGATTTTTGAAAACTAGAAGATGAAAATAAAAACAAGTTGATTCTTTTTCAGCCTTTTTCATATTTCTTACGTAGGAAAAGGCAAGAAAAAAAAATATTTATGTTCAATTATGTAAAAATAAAGTAACAAAAATGCCATAAAATTTGGGCACATTTTGGGCCCTTTTTTTTTGCGTATGCAATCAAAGATAGGTTTTGAGATATTTAGACAATCTAAACATAGAAAATCTATCTTTTTTTTCACTACGATTTTATCTTATTATCTAATTTAATCATCAAGAGGTGAGAAAAAATAGATTAAAATCATTCATTTGGTGAAAAAAATGCTGGGATGTAGTTGAAATAATGATAAAATGCATATTAAATATACCTATAATGGTGTTCAATTATCAAAAACAAATTTTTGAAAAATTGGTTAACAAACAATATTCAAAAAATTTTATTTCCTTTCTATCCAAAACTTTGGCACAGACCTTATAATAGTCATATTAATCAACAAAAATTATACAATTCAATAGTTATTATACTTACATCCCCTCAATTTTTATGAAATATTGCAGTTCTATTTGTTTTTATTTTCATCTTCTAAAATTCAAAAATCAACTTGCAAAATGGCAAACTTGAAAGAATATTAGTATCTCTCTTAAATACATTTTTTAATAATATTTTTACATAAAAGGGTTGACATGTTACAATGGTTGTCATTCTAAGGATGTTAAGTGTAATTTCAGAAATTTGAGGGTGTTAGGTGTGATTAGAACAAACCTCAAGGGAGGTTTCTAAAATTATCCCTACAATAAAATGACCAATGAGCCTGTGAACTGATACGTGGCTGTTTCTTGGTTAGTTCTAGTATTTCTTGTAACAACAACCAATAGCATGCCTGTCTGGTCTTGTTTATTTTGGGATTGGGTTTGTTTGGCAAACAAGGGCCTTTTTGGAACCCAAGTTTTTTGACAAGTTTGTCTTTTACAAGTTTTTTAAAAACTTTTAGTTATTGTAATCTCAAAAACTTCTCAAAATTTTTTAACTATACACTTCAAAATATTCAAAAATTTACACATTTCAAAAATTTTTCAAAATACTTCTACAGTGCGCTACAGTAAAGTTTTAGACAAACTTTCAAAAAACTCACCTTCCAAATTTATCTACAAGTTTTTAATAGTTTTAACTATAGTAACTTCAAAATTTCTCAAAGTTTTTACACTATACACTTCAAAATATCCAAAAATTTACACACTTTTAAAATTTTTTCCTATAACTTCTACAGTAAGTTACAATAAAGTTTTAAACAAATATCCAAAAAACTCATTTGCCAAACGGTTCTGTAGAAAAATTTTTATGTTTTATGTTATCATAATTTTCAATCATTTTTTTAATTTCATATACATTAAATTGCTATAATATATTTTGCTACAAAAATTTCAAGACATTCAAGGTTACATTTATCATACAATAATTTTGTGGAGAAGCATTTGCTTCATCCGTGATTAAGGAGATGTATTAGCTGAGTTCACAAATTTTGTCCTAAGCACGTTCCTTTCACTCTTTTCAACTATACCTTAATATTTAGGGTTAATTCCACTTTGCCCCCCCAAACTTTGGACGATTATCCACTTAAGTCCCTAAACTTCAAAATGGGACACTTAAGTCCCTAAACTTATAAATACCTCACACTTAAGTCCCTGAACTTATAAAATGGGACACTTAAATCCCTAAACCCTTATAAAATGGGACACTTCAACCACCAACGGCATTTAGGATTTGTTAACAATTTTCCTTAAGTGGGATGTATTTATAAGTTTAGGGACTTAAGTGTCCCATTTTGAAGTTTAGGGACTTAAGTGGGTAATCGTCCAAAGTTTGGGGAGACAAAATGGAATTAACCCTAATATTTATAAAGAACATTGGTTGAGGTAGCAAATAAGCTTTAGCTCCTATGTTTATAGTACATACTAAAAAAATGTTAAAAACTTGGTGAATCTGTAAATTCAGCTAACAGATTAACCTTATGTAGTTATGTGTATTCATCTTTACTTTTATCTTGTTTAATATGAACAGATGTTTGGGGGTTTCTCAAAGAACCCTGAATTTTTCCCTACCTTTATAGGAAGCATATTTATAGACAACTCATCATATTTCTATTGGGATTGTGGCAACGTTTTTTCACTTATTTCATGCCGAAATTTTGTGTAAATCGTTCAAAAAGTCCATCACATTTTCACTAAATAAATTATTTCGTCTTTCATTTTTAGAATAGTAACTTTACGTCTTTATAAAATCGAGTTGATAAAATTTGATCCCAATTTAAGTTTTTAACTATTTTTTATTCTGAATCCATCACATGACCTACACATGGTCATTGTTCAAAACAAAAAAGTTAGATCTCATTTGTAATTAAAAATAACCGAATTCATATTCATTTTTGTTCCTAAAAAAAGTAATATCTGATTCAAATTATATTCATTTTCACTAAAAAAGTGGGATCGAATCCAATCTATATTCATTTTTGCGATTAAAAAAGCTGGATCTAATTTTTTTTTTTACATAAACAATGATTGCATGTGAGTCACATGATAATTTCAAACTAAAAAGTGGTCAAAAATTTGTGTTGGAACCAAATTTTACCGACTTGATTTTATAAGATGTAAAATAAATTACAATTCTAAAAGTAAAGGACGAAAAAATTCATTTAATAAAATGTGAAGTACGTTTTAAATTATTTTCCCCTAAATTTGTGAGAGTTTGAAACCTAAGCAAAATTGCGCGGCGCCCTTGAAACTAAAGGAAGAATTCATGTTTGCTCCAAACTCTTTGTACCCCTACCCAATATCTGACGTTGACATCAAGTATTCGGTGAGCCCTGTAACTAAAACAATATCAACTTCGACTAGCCCAGCCTATTTTTATCCCAAAATTAAACCCTCCTCCAACAGCTTGTGGCACATTGTTAATTTGCATTAATTACATAGAAAAAAAAAAAGCAAAAGATTAGGTCCCTATAACAAAATGTTGCACTCCCTTAAAATACACGGATATTAGTCAATTCAATTTCATGTCTTACATGATAATTATCTACCTAATCAATTAAGTTTAGCTCAGACATTCTAGTCAGGAAAAGGAAAACAATGAAAGGTCAAAGATTATTCTTATCCATACATAGGACAAAATGGGCTTCGTACTATTGTGTTGGGCTAACCTCAAACATTTTGGACATGGATCACTTGTATTGTTTCCTTTCACAATCGGTACACCGTGCACGGCCCTCAATTGTTACAGTTGCAATTTATATTTACAGGATCAGCCTGTCTGCATCATAACAGGAGAAAGTATTCATTTTATCTTCACTAAATAAATAAATTGTTATGTAAATTAATTTTACATGAGAATTTTATTGAATTTCAGAAACTAGGAAAAACTTTAACAGAAAATGGTTTTTGGGTAAGAACATGTCAGTAGAAACAGAGACACTCAAGTGGTGAGATGATATCATGGTTTTGTGAGTGGAACGTAATAGTAGTTGAGTGAGATTGATAAAAAGGAAAACATGAAAATTGGTTTAAGGTAGGTTTTTGCTGATAGTGTGTGAGTTTGTGTTGACTTAAGTGTAGTAAATAAAGATTATGAAGGTGAATTTGGAATAACGAAAAAGTGAAAACAACGAATTGTGTACATCAAACAACTGATACAACGGTTTTACTCCCTCCGTCCCACTTTAATAGTCATGTTTTTCTTTTTTGTTTATCAAAAATTTTAGTCCACTTTCAAATTGAAAAATATAGTTATCTTTTACTTTTTCTAAAATACCCTTATTCAATATAGGTTATTATTAGTATAAACTACCTTATTTAATATAGATCGCTATTGAATATAATCTATCTCATTTAATGTAGAATGAGGATTAATTCTTTCTTGACCATCAATTCAAATTCTCATAAACCAAGTTTCCATGAATAATTAATAGAAAGTTGTACTCTATTTAATATAAGAGTATTTTGGAAAAATAGCAACCTAAATTTATTTTTTTAATAAAATTAATTATTTTTTCTTAAACTATATGAAAGAAAAAATTGAAACAATCAAAATGAGACGAAAGGAATATTATTTAAGGATTTTAGGACCTGTGGTTCTTTCATTTCCCTATTGACTTGTATTGGATCAAATGATGTGTCCGCCACTGGAGTCCATGGGCTTGTAGTTGTTCAGTCCATGTCTGGTTTCCCATCTATCCAGACGTAGGAAGAAATACTGGAATTATATTGTCAAAAATATTAGGGGTGGCAATTTTCGACACGACCTGAAAACACGACATGAACCTAACACGAAATTAATGGGTTTGGGTTGAGGTTTCGGGAATTCGGGTCAGAATCGGGTTGAACCCGATGAACCCGGAAAGAAAACAGGTCGATTTTGGATCAACCCGTGGTGACCTGATATGACCCGATATGACCCGTTTACGAATTAAAAATAATTTAATAAACATAAAAATAATTTTATTTAACTAA